TTTTGTATTCTCGATTTTTAACACTTATAAGGGTCAGAAAATGAGGTCTGAAAATGGAGGTAAAGAAATGAGTGTCAAAAAGTAACGGTCGGAAATCGAGGGTGCATAGACTGAGATAAAAAATACTTTGGCCAAGGAATTCTTGAGAGAAGAATTTTTTCCCAGATGGCCCGTGGCCAACTCCAAATATCACAATTATGTTGAATTATGGGATGATTCGACATATGACTTTGAATGAACTCCATGGACAATTATTAACATTTAAATAAAATAAAACTTTTATTCCACTCAACATTTTATTTTACTTCAAAATGTTAGTAATTGTCAATGGAGTTCAAGGTCAAGGAGTGAAGGTCATATGTCGCATAATCATAATTAAACATAATTGTAATATATGGAGATGAAGTGGGACCACATGGGAATGACTGACCTGGAGAGATAGGCTTCTAAAAAATGAATTCTTCTTCCAAGAAAATGATTCTTTGACAAAAGTGTTTTTTTTCTCGGTGTAAGCAAGGGTCAAATAATAAGGGGTGTAAATACTAAGCCAAAGTTCCTGATCCTGGTGACCTTTATGATTCTAACCGTTGTCAAATGGTTCCCTCACGGGTTTCCCAATCTTTATCAGACTCTGACCCGCAGCAACCCTTATCACTTTCTTGGAAGCTTTCTGACCCTCGTGACCCTCATAAAAATACCATAAACAAGATTCTGACCCTCATCAGCATGACCCTTAAGGCCCTGAGGAAGTGGGGAACAATCGTATGATAAATCCGATTGAAAATCACATGACAAATCCACTGTCAACCCTTTCCCAAATGGACTGAAAGTTAATGTTCACAAACTTTTTAGAGTAAATTTACATACTTTTCTTTTTTTTTAATGCTTGTCTGCCAATTGAATGCATTTTCAAATTTAATTAATTATAAATCGAAAGCTTTTTTCTAAATGGGGCAATCCAAATATTACGTTCCACGTTTTGTTTTGACGTCACTCCTTGTATATTACCTCACTCAAATCCATGACTCCCCCCTCCTGATATGGCAATTTTTTTAGTTCTTTTATGAAATTGGAAAATAGGAATCAGAAGAGAGAGGAAAATGATTAAGTGAACAATTCAATCTCAATGCGAATGTTTTTTCAACATCTCGTAACTTATGAAATTGTTGTCTTTGGATCAAACAACAACTAAAGGGTGTAACAATAATCGCATTAAACTAGCGGAGAAATAGTTAAAGACATTTCCCGGAGCCAATAAAATTCCCTAAAAAAACAGATCTCTCGTTATTTTCCCGAAACGTTATTTTATCCCGAGATATTCGTGAAATAATCTACACATCTATCTTCAAAATTCTGGCGTTGACGCTATCTTTTAATTGAAACCAAACGGATTAACAAATTTCCAAAAATAGAAATAATTTTAAAGATAAAGTCATTGAATCTCTTTCTTTATCCGCAAAAGCATTACAATAATTTATCAACTCACAAACATTAAAAATAAAAGAAACAAATCCGTTTCTGGGGAGTTCATTTCACAATCTGAAATTGCAGAGTAATCAACTTCATAATAATATTTATTTTGAAAGATAATAATTTTGGAAATTAAAAAAAAAGCAAAAAGTCGAATCGGATGATTCACATCTGTGAAAAAACAAATACCTGTCCCGTTATACCCGGACTTCATTCTGTCTACAGTGCAACGTAACAGAGGCGTATAATTAGTCTGCGTTATTGTGTCACGATGCGTTGCTTCTATCCTCGTCAAATACCCGGCGCCTTCTGTCCACGCGGTCACTCTCAACTGCAATACCGCAATCTTTCTTATTTTCAATTCCATCTAGGAGATAATTTTCCCTTGAAAAAACAGTATTCTGCAGGTAGAAATTAACAGGATTTCAAATTGAAATGATTTCTCAAAAGAATTAATTTTTTTTAATATCACGAAATCCAAGAGAAATTGCAAAAAATTGATAGCAACTTTTTTTTTGTAATTCTGATATTTTTCCAGAAAAAAAATCCTCATTAAACCTCAATTATCTTCAGAGAAATTATCTTCAATTATCTTTTAGAGAAATATTTCAGAGATTTTTTACAAAACAATACAAAAAACGAACATCTAATTTTGTTTTACTTTTTGAAAAATGTCTATAAATGAGTGGGAAATTGCTCTTGAATTGCATATAGTATAGTAATTTTTGGAAGCATATTAATAAATAAAACGATAAATTAAGAATATGTTTCCGACTGGTGATTTTGCACATCATTTCCTTCTATCACGTATAATTCATTGCTTACTTCATTTTATTAAACTGAATACGATTTCCCTTTACCAAATTTTGGCAGATTTTCAACTTAGTTGAATGTTATCATTATTCTTATTATCCCTTTTAATGGAAGTGGGTCATGAAATAATTCTTAAACGCAGTGAATTTACTTTTGATTGTCTTTCTTTATTAAAGTAGCTCTACCCTTCGGCCGGGCTACGCGGTACTTTTGGATATTTTCAGTTTTTAAAGTTTTCAACTAAATTCATGGAAAAAATTTGAAAAAATTTACACCCAGTCAGTATTATCTAAATTAAATTTCGCAAAATACTGATATTTTTTCAAACATTTCCCTCTTATAAATAAATAATAAAACTCGTTTGCAAAACGGTGGATTATTTTTTATGAGGTGTCAAAAAAATTCTTGATTTTTCCACATCTAATGAAAAAAAATCAGATTTTAAACTTTGATTACAATAGAAATGTTGATTTTCGCCTAAGACATTGGGTTAAATCCTGATTTTTAAACATTTCTTCTTTGAAAAACCAAAACGATAATTAAATTGAGTAAAAAATTAGAATTCCGAATCTAATTGAGTTTTCTGCAATTTTTTTGCAGTTTTCAATAATCTTTGAATTTATCGTAAGGGTAGAGCTACTTTAGTATGGCACGAGAAAGAAACGTCTGTACTCTACGAACTGCTCCAGCAGATTAAATACCGGTCACAAAGACCAAAAAGAATATCGTCACCAATCTCTCATATCAGATCTTTCTCCCCATGGAGTTATTGTTTATGTTTATAATTTACTCTCCGGCACTCTCTACGTCGATTCGTTTTTGTACGCATAATCTCATCAAATAAGTTCTTAGTAAGGAGCAAACCGATTGTCTTTTTGACAGTTCTATCTCTCCCCTCAGCCTTTCGATGAAATGTTGATAGAAAATTTTTATTTACACATACTTGACTGAATTTGAAACATCACATTTGAAGAAACCATCAGAAAGCTTGCGTTCAGGGAAATCAATGAAAAATTCAAAATTTTCAACAATCATCATAAAAATCACATCAACCAATATAGCTATCGTAGTCATCTTTTAACTTCGACTTAATGGCATTAAAACAAATATTTCAAACTGTGATTGAATTCATTTGATGCACGATATTCAAAGTTATTCCCGGAATTCTGATTTTCAAAAAATACAAAATTAAAAAAAAATTTCGAATAAATCAAAATAACGATTATTGCTATCGCCTTCATCTTCGAACTCGGTCAAAGGGAGATTCGAACACTTTTTTAAGCCATCATTCAATCAATTCAGAACATTTTTTTAAATTATCGTAAATTATCGGACAATCGATTTTCGAAAAAATTCAAAAATTAAAAAAACTAATCGATGAATTAAATTTTAATTAATGTCGATCGATAACGCTTAACAATACTTACATTTGAAAAAAAAAGATTCAATTCCATCCATTCATTAGCAAACAATTGAAGAAAAACTTTACACACCTTTACTTTAATTTCACACCCCTTTTGTAGACATTTTTCAGGCATTAAAAAACGTCCGAATAAAATGAAAATGTGTCAGAATTTCAGACGAGCAGGTGCCCGAACATCTTAATTCATGTTTGAAATTCAGACAAATCGTTTGATTCAGACGTTTTTTAGTGTCTGAAAAATCTACAAAAGGCGTGTAAAATTCGAACATTCGTTTTTGCTGTATAGGTACGGACGCGTTCTAAAAATTGCCTGAATGGATTGAATTTTCTGACATTTTGGGTCATAACAGGTCGATATAAAAAAACGTCCAAAACTTAAATTTCAACGATCACAAATCCTCCATTCGCAAGCAGAAACAAAAAAATACATAAAAGTCATAAGATCCCGAGACCCCAAATTCTGCCATTACCCCCTCCCCCCTCAATCACAAAACAACCCCACAAAAAAATAGAAAAACAAATTCAATTGACTTCCTCCCATTATCACTCCCAAGCAAACAAATTAAATCGGAACAAAGTCAATCGACTGGACTTCGTTAAAACCCCTGGGGTCAACGTTATCGCCTCCGGTCCGCAGACATAAACCCGAGATAATTCAAGTGCACATTTATATCGATTAATTCCACATCCACACGAGAAAACCTCCAACCAAACAGATTGACCTCCGCTCCACCGATCAATTTCGACAACATAGAGCTTTTATTCCCTCCGTCACTAAAATTATTCTCATAAATTTGAATGCCAAACAGCGTGTCGTCATTGCCTCCAACGAATTGCCATCGTTGACGTTATTTTCCCTGTTGGAGCGGCAAGGGCGTAAGTGCCTTATGCTTGCCCCACGCACCCTCTCAACTCTGGGATACAATTACATCATGCAAAACTGGAAACGGCGAGACGCTAAAAAATCCCGCCGCGCATCAACCGGTTTATTACGACCATAAAAATCCGCGATGACAGCTCACCTGACGCATTATCATTCCACCTACGAAATAATCGTTTTACACATTTTATTTGGCTACCACGTGGTGGCATCATACCAGCGATGCGCAGGTTTCAACTGCATGACGAAACACGTGAATTCACTTGCATGCAGCCCCGAATTCCCCCAAAAGTCTCAAAAACCTAACTCCAATTTTATCGCTGACTATTCATCGACTTATTGCAACTGGAAACCCCAACAGCAGCTCCAAATATTTTTAAAAATTTATTGAACTCATTTTCATGCAGAACTTACCGGAAAATTGATGCGCCTAGTTCAGCGATTTCGGAGCAGAATTAATAATTTCTCACATAAAACCGTAAACTCATCACTGATAAAGTACTCTAGGGATTGTTTCGGATGCACTGCTAGACGATATTGAACATATGGTTCGTAAATATCGTCGATGTTAACGTAAATGCAGGAAACAAGCGGTCAGAAACGGTGACGTTGACCGAGAGTGCCGGGACGACGCGTTTCCACGGATGCTCGTGGCTAGAATAAGCCTGGGTGGTCGGCTCTTTTTTACAATGTGGCTCCGGCGAAAGAGGGGAGGGCCGGTGTTGACTTTCCGGTGGAGACCACCAGGGGCGCCTCCTACGCACCCCGCCAACCCGACGATTCCTCTTGTGATCCAATTTCTTCTTCTTTCTCTGTTGTTTGATATTGTTCAGCGCTTTTGTATCTTCTGGCATTCGCTCTCGCTTTCTCGACTTGTTATTGCCTTCAATGAATACTTTGTAATTGGAAATGTGATTGACTCCCCAATTCTCGGGAGAGATGACGCAGAATGGCGTTAAATGTAAAAATAGATTTTTCGGCTTTGAAAAATGACTGGATGCGTGGGTGGGTCCAGAACTGGGTCAAGAATTCCGGAAATATCACGAGTAAAAAAAGCATTTTGGTTCGTAGTCGTGAGTCATCTTGTCACAAACGTAGAGTTTTCCATTTCCGGACGCGAGGGGAGGAAGTTGTAGTAACGCTCACGAAAATCGAAGGTGCACTGAGAGACGGGATTAGTTATTGTTAACAAATGGACTTGGTTGAAGGAAATATCACGAGTAAAAAAAGCATTTTGGTTCGTACACTGAGAAAAAAAATTCTACGAAATAGAAATTTTATGATTGATCCAAACCGTTCATCGATTGAATAGTCGCAAAAGAAAATGCTATTGTAAGACACAAATATCGATTTAAACTAAATCAAAATTGGATTGAATGAAATCCATTTTGTTATAGTATAGTATATTTTGTTTACTCTGTCGAATTTAGAAAATACATGTTTTTGCGACAAAATCGATTTCATACAATTCAATTTTGGTTTAGTTCAAACGCTTCAGATTTGGCGCAAATAATTTTTCTTTCACAATTGCAATGGAAAAATAATCAGTTCAAATGATGAAGAATTGCGTTTGTCGTAAACAAGAAACTGTTCACCGCGAAAGTCTCGCATCAATGAGTATCCAACAATATGTTCCTCATAGACCAAATGAATATTTTATTGCATCTATGAATTCTGCTTTCAATCGAACAGATATTCTTTTGCGGGATATTGTGACGCTGATAAATTGGATAATTATATGCTTTATTCGAAGAAGATATCTGATAATACAGACATTGATTCGTATGTACTGAAAAGTAGATAGTAACAAAAAAAAAGTTTAGATAACTGATCTCATTCTTTTTCAATCGAAAATATTAAAAATAAATCGATATTTGTGTCTTGCAATAGCATTTTCTTTTGCGACTATTCAATCGATGAACGATTTGGATCAATCATAGAATTTCTATTTCTTAGAAATTTTTTTTCTCAGTGTAGTTGTGAGTCATCTTGTCACAAACCTAGAGTTTTCAATTTCCGGACGCGAGGGGAGGAAGTTGGAGTAACAATCACGAAAATCGAAGGTGCACTGAGAGACAGGATTAGTTATTGTTAACAAATGGACTTGGTTGAAGGCTAGGGTCTGTTTGGTCTCACCAAATGTTCATTGGTTAATAGTTAACGAATGCAGATTTGAGGAGCCTTGTTTAACTCGACTTTCACCTTTCAAGTGAACCATTCGTTAACTGTTAGCGAATATTTATTTGGTCATATTCAACTCTACCATTCGTTAACTGTTAGCGAATCTGGTTTGGAATAAATAAATCATTCTATCAGTGTGGAAATTTCAGGATTTCTCCGAAAATTTCCAGTACACTTCTGGAAATCTTCATGATGTTGCCGTTCCAGTGAAGTTCCAAGGAATTTCATCAATGAAGCTTCAAAATTTTATGAAGAAATCAACGGAATCCGTAAATTTTAGGTAAATTATTCCTTCAGTAATAAAGTAGTATGAATAAACTCCAGTTGATTGATGAGTGTAACGAGGAAAAATTAATTCAAAAAGGAAATTCAGTAGCGAAAACTTACTCTACTCTAGAGACGCGAAAACTTTATGAAATTCAAAATTCATTTATTCATGATCTATTGCGAATAAAGTAAAATGGATGTTCAACTTTATTCTTTGGAGTGTAACGAACATGAAAAAAAGCTAAAATCGTATGAATATTACGGCGCCAGGAGAATTTTGAAGGTAAAAACCGGAAAATCAAGTTTTTTGTGATTATACGGGGCAAAATCGATCGGGTTCGCGATTTTCACAAACTGTTCGATGGGTCCCAAGACCCAGTGAAGACTTTTGAATTTCACCGACGTATCCCCTTAAGTCGATTTTGAATATTGGCCAGTTTTTAATGAATATCCCGGAATATAAGAGAGATAGCAAATTTTTTGCCACGACCTTTTTTGTAGCCCTCAAGTCACTCCGAAGGTGCATGCTTATGAAACAGAATCCGTACATTGAGAGAAAAACGAACACGTCAAACAAGTCTTGTTTTGGCCACCAAAATCTCTAGTTGAAAATTGCCAAAAAAGAATTTGTTTGGTTCGAATTTGAAAGTCTCAAACACGAATAATTGTTCTGCTTTCGACAGGAACGAAATATTTTGCTCAAGAGGCGGATAATTCACGTCAGACGGTGCCTTTTCAGGATGAAAATATCTCATATAGAGGAAAATTTATCAACAAATATTTTATCCCCAAGTTACAAGATTGCTATCATATCATTATTATTGTTTCATTTAAGGGTTCATTTCTTGTCTGTGATTATTAGATAGTTGAAATGAAAAACTACTATCCCTTATTCCGCATAAGACAAAGATTTTTTGGGAGCAAAATACGTATGGGAGTATCGAATAACGAAGGAGTAGTGCTAGAAATGACATTTCTTGCGTGTACAGAGAATGCAATTTTTTTTTAACTACTAAATCTATTTTTGTGACAAAAATTTTTCATTCCGGCCCACTCTCTGCATGTTTGGCACAAAAAATCCTTTTTGTGCCGCTAGGGACGGAAAACCGCGATTCTAACCTCGCTCCGCTCGGTTAAATCGCGGTTTTCAGTCCTCGAGGCATAAAATATCGTGTGCCACATGGCAGTAAAACATGAGTCACAGTATTTTGTGACTCATGTGATTATAACCCTCCCCTTCGGCTCGGGTTATAACGTCACATTCGTCGGAAAATACTTTTACTCCCTAGGGGCACAATATACTATTTGATCATTCTCAAAAAGCCATTTTCTTGGCACAAGTAAGACTTGTTTGAGAACTTGTCGTTTTCCTCACAGTGTACGAAGATGCATCAACGTAACCAATCGAAATTAAGCAAATAAAATTGACGGGAAAATTTTGCGATACAATTGGTTATACCGATGGGTTTCCGTCCCCTTCCGGGAAGGGGGAGGAAAATGTGTCCTTTGCGCACGCCGGGGAGAAACATGGAGTAGGGGAGGATAGGGTAAAATGGACACTTGACTTTTTTTGTAATGTTCATGACGTGTTGAATTGCTCATGAAATGGAATCATTTTATTTTCCAATAGAAAGAACAATGATTCCTCTTTGTGATGAGCACAGACTGAGCTCAATTGATAGATCTGTTTCTGAGCTATGAATATTTTCAAAAAAATTTAAAAGTGTCCATTTTCCCCTATACTCCCCTATTATTGACATATTTTCCCCACGAAAACACATAAATATCATTACCTCGTAATTGAAATTGTTTCAATTCAATAAAATTCACTGTATTTCCCGAATTATCGTGATTATTCTCCTGAATGTCAACCAATAGAAATGCAATTGCTACGCGTTCGGGATTTTAATCTACACAACTTCGCCCTCTCGTTGCTATGCAACAAAACTCGAAATTTTTTAAACAATTTTGGAGGACTCAGAGCATTACAGCGAGCAATTCCAGAAATGGGGATTCCACCTCACGATTACGTGAGTTATCACGTAATTTTTTCTGGAATTTTTCATCCGTGTATATTGGATTTCCAGAACAGATAATACCAGAAATGATTTCATCTTTAATTGCATTTGAATTCACAAAATTGAAAATTCATATGCGGTTATTTAATTTTCAGAGGAATCTTGACTGTCGGGAAGCTGCAGGTTCGACCTGTGCACTGTCCGACCTGTCCCTGAGGGAGAAAACAGGTTTCTAGGAACGAAAAAATTCCTGCCACAAACCTTTTTCTTGATAGGTGGGGCAGAGACTTAAGAGATTAAAGCAAATGAAAAAATTCTTCAGATAAGAATGAATAATTTGCAGCTACGGTACATTAAGGCCTTCAAAATTATTGGATATTTCCAGAAAGTTTTGTTGCATAGCAACGACAGTTATCAGCTTTTCCACATACTTTCGAGAGTTCTGAATAGCCCGTCGCTTAAATAGTTGGAATCAACGTTCACCCGGCTAAAAAATTCGATTTTGGCAAAAGTCGACTTTCTCCCGAAAAAAACGAAAAATCTGACCCTTTGAAAATTTGAAAAAAAAAACTTTTTCAGTTTACACTTTTTCCACATACTTTTGAGAGTTCTGAATAGCCCGTCGCTTAAATAGTTGGAATCAACGTTCACCCGGCTAAAAAATTCGATTTTGGCGAAAATCCACTTGCCCCGGAAAACCCGAAAATCTGACCCTTTGGCTGGGGCCAAAAAAAACGGTTTCTCAGTTTTCACTTTTTCCACATACTTTTGACAGTTCTGACTAGCCCGGCGCTTAAATAGTTGGAATCAACGTTCACCCGGCTAAAAAATTCGATTTTGGCGAAAAATCCAAGATCTGACACTTTGACCCTTGTGACCCTTGGACCGACTTTCCCCCCGGAAAAATCTAAGATTT